GGGGGAGAGGCAAAGGGAGAAGCAGACTCCCCACCAAGCAGGGAGCCCGATGCAGAACTTGATCCCAGGACTCTGGGATCAGGACCTGAGCCAAAGGCAGACGCTTAACCAACTGAGCCACCCAGGTGCCCCTATATGTTTGTTTTAGACATGATGGGACTAGGGAGATCTAAGGTAGGAGTGCCCAACCTCTAGGAAGACTTGGACACACTTTGGAAGTAAGAAAATTCAACCCTTGAAAATTGTTCTCAAATATTTCCACTTTTATGACTGCCAGGTTTTTGTTTTTGTTTTTTATTTTTTTATTTTATTTTATTATTTATTTATTTGACAGAGAGAGAGTTAGCGAGAGCAGGAACAGAAGCAGGGGGAGTGGGAGAGGGAGAAGAAGGCTTCCTGCGGAGCAGGGAGCCCGATGCGGGGCTCGATCCCAGGACCCGGGATCATGACCTGAGTGAAAGGCACTTGTTTAAACAACTGAGCCACCCAGACGCCCCTCCGTGACTACCAGGTTTTAAGTCGAAGTGCCGTAAATGCTGATTGACTTCAGCTTTGCAGTTTTAATATTTTGGAGCCAATACATTTTTTTTCTTCAGGTCTCAAATATTTTATAAGCTCTTAAAAAGCTCTCAGCTTCCTGTGAGTTTGTAATTATGTCAAAAGAAAAACATGAAAAAAATTGAAAGAATCATGCCCGAGCCCTAGTGGGCTAATGAATGGCAAGACCCCACCCAGACCTCATATGAGAGAAGACGTAGCTCCCCAAAGACGAGTGAGGGCCTGTAATCAGAAGGGGACAGACAGCGGGTGGGAAGGCAAAAGTGACAGAAGGCAACTGTGTTTGGGGAGGCGGCTGTCTGGGCAGGTGGAACAGCGCAGCAAAGACAGGGAGGTAAAAACAGATGCTCAAGGTAAGTGGGGGTTGGAAGAGTGCCTGAGGTTGGGGGTCATCTCCCCCCTCCCCAGTTCTTTCTACACTTCATGGAGCAAGAGGAAAAGATCTTTTTTTTTTTTGAGGTCCAGGTATCCCAGGACCACAGTGTTCTTCTTTTCTTGGCTCAGCAGATGGAAAGCAGGTCAGCCCTAGCTCCCTGTGTGACCTTGGCCAAGTGACCAGCCTCTTTGGGTGGTTTCTGCATCATTAAATGAGGGAGCAGGACAGGTGGGGAATGTCGGGGTCCCTTCCTGCTCTGACCTGTAGGGCTCTGGAGCTGGCTCTGATCCCCCCACCATCCCCGCCTGGGCCAGCCAGGTTGGCTGAGGGGTGTGGATGGTGTTCCAGTGGGCCTGGCAGCCCTCCCAGCCACTGCCAGCTGGAGGGCGCATAGCCTTCTCGCGGGCAGGGCAGGGCCGCACTGGCCTGGATCCCCCGTCTAGGGGTGCTGAGCTCATTTCTCACTGCAGCCGCCAAGGTCCAGCCTATAGGATGGAGGAATTCCAGAGAGCTTGCTGTCTCTGCTGCAGGGTAGTGAGGGAGGAGGAGAGTCCCAGGGTGGGGGGGGGGGCTTGGCTTGGGGGTGCACATGAGAGGACGAATGTTGAGCCCTCCCCACAGCACCTCTGTAATCCTCCAACCAACCGTTAGTGAATGGTAATGTTCCCACTTTCCAGGCCTGGAAACAGGTTCAAGAGTTCAAGGACCTTGGCCACAGTCACACCCAGGCAGCCCCCAAATTAGGACTTGCCTTCCCTTCTGATTCTAACGTCAGGTTCATTGCAGGGCGCAGAGCAGCTTCTCTGTGCAGTGCATTCCAGTTGACAGGCATGAAGCCAGGGGTGGGGGGGTAAGGGGGGTTGGGGGGTAAGGGAGAGTGGGGGGCTTGGGGGGTGGGGGATGGGGGAGGCATAGATGGAATGAGGTAATGTTTGAAAGCAAGGAGATAAGGTGCCCACTTATCTGCACAGGGCCTGGCAGATAAATGGGTGCCACCCCAGGAGGCCCTGAGGACTGGGTGGGGGTGGGGTGCACACAGGGCACCTTGTCACCCAGGAAAACCATGGTCCCTGTTACAGGGGACACGGGAAGCCGGAGAGACTCCCTGCCCCAGCATAGGCAGGAGGGGACTGTCGGCGATGAGGTAGGGAGGGGTGAGAGGGAGACCTCCCAGCGGTGTGGACCCCAGGAAGGTAAGCTCAGCCTAGGAAAAGAGACAAGAGGGAAGCCAAAACCTTCGGAGACTGCGAAAAAAGTAATCACTATTTAGTACAACAGACATGAATTCCACCCTGGACTAGCCTTGTGTGGGAGAGCAGGATGTCACCTCCCCGATTTCCAGAGTGGGAGGCCAACTTGGGGACGGCGTGGCGGGATAGGACCAGAATCCAACTCTTGGGACTCCCAAAGGGGCCTTTCTGGAGGCTTATTCATGCCATGGCACCCCTCTACCGGCCCTCAGCCGGTCAGACCCTGGGGAATAAAGCCGCCCCTCGTCCAACAGCACATACTTCCTGATACTGGGCCTGTCCTGCAGGGTTTTTTGTTTTTTTGTTTAAGTTTTTATTTATTTATTTGAGAAGGGGGGGGGTTAGTAGGGGGAGAGGCAGAGGGAGAAGGAGAAGCAGACTCCCTGCTGAACAGAGAGCCCGACATGGGCTCTGTCCCAGGACCCCGGGATCATGACCAGAGCTGAAGTCAGATGCTCAACCAGCTGAGCCACCTAGATGCAGGAAGCATGGGAGCAGCTCTTTTTTTTTTAAAGATTTTATTTATTTGACAGAGAGAGACACAGTGAGAGAGGGAACACAAGCAGGGGGAGTGGGAGAGGGAGAAGCAGGCTTCCCGCGGAGCAGGGAGCCTGATGTGGGGCTCGATCCCAGGACCCCAGGATCATGACCTGAGCCGAAGGCAGACACTTAACAACTGAGCCACCCAGGTGCCCTGGGAGCAGCTCTTGAGGTGCTGAGAGCTCAACAATCAGGCCGGAACAGCCAGCCAGCCCCACGTAACAACAGCTGGGATGGGACCGGGCCTGCACCATCCCTGCTCCTTGGTCGGGACTCCTCAAATGCCCCCATTCCTTGATTCAGGCAGAAGGTGTCTGTGGCGCTTGGAGGGGAAGCACAAAGGAAAAGCCCCGAAGCGGCTCCACGCACCCCTCCCTATGTTGAGGTTTAGGGGAGGCCCCGGAGGAAAAAATGAAAGAGCTGTGCTTGGTTTCTGAGGCTTGGTCTTGGAGGAGGGGTGAGGGGCTTGGAGAGGGGGCAGCCCAGCCTCCTTTCTAGGCCTGCCTCGAGGCCCAGTGCACTCCCCACCACTCCTCCCGTGTGAGGGTGGGCTTCAGTCATCTGCGGGGGGGGATGGGGGGTGGGGGGGGCGGGGGGGTTTGGAGGACCTGGCTTCCAGGTGTGAGTCACTCCTGGTCCACATCTTCCTCCCTCTTCAGTGCTGGCAATTTCAGAAGGGAGATGGCAATGTGGAGGAGGTCCCGGTGACATCTCTCCTAGTAAGTGCCCCACCTTGCCCAGTGCTCCCCACACCTACCTCTCCTCCTAGTTCCTGGGTATGAGGTGAGCACCCCTCTAACCCACTCACCCTCAACTCTTGCTACAGTGATCTTCCCTGCAGCCCATGTCTGCCCTCAATACTCACCTTCTCTATAACCTTCTATGGCTCCCCAGCAACCCTCAAAACCAAAACAATGGCTAAGCCCCTTTAATGAGGCCTTTCCTGATCCAGATACTGTTGGCCTCCCAGTCTCATGCCCCATCTTTCCCCAACATACCCGAAACTCCAGCCATGCCCAGATGCCCTGGACCTATGTTTTCTCACATCTGAGCCTTTGCTCATGCTGGAATGCCAGGCCCTCTTTCTTCACCCATCCTTCAAGATCCACCTTCTGGGGCATCTAGGTGGCTCAGCTGGTTGAGCATCTGACTTCAGCTCTGGTCATGATCCCGGGGTCCTGGGACAGAGCCCATGTCGGGCTCCCTGTTCAGCAGGGAGTCTGCTTCTCCTTCTCCCTCTGCCTCTCCCCCTACTAACCCCCCCTCTTCTCAAATAAATAAATAAAAACTTAAACAAAAAAACAAAGGCCCACAGTCTGGACAGTCTCCATTGCACCACAGTGCTTGTTCATGACTTCCCTTAGAACCAGCATCATGCTACTTAATTAGCCAGGTCCTGCCCCAGCAGCGGGCTACCTGAGAGCAGGGACTCCATGGGGTTCCTCTTTGAATCCTTACAGGCTAGCTCAGGGCAGGCACATAGTAGAGGCTCAGGAAAATATCTGCTAAGTGAACAGGGAAAGGAAAGGCCGGGCCTAGCCTTGGAGAGATATGAAGAGAGTGGAAGGGAGGGGGCGCACAGAGCCGGAACCCCAACCCCTCCTGGCCTGGCCCACCCTGGGCCCCCTCTCAGGCCTGACTCAGGCCAGAGGCTGTCAGGCAGGAGCTCTTGGAGGATAGGCAGCAGGCCCCTCAGGAGGGCTGAGGCATGAAGCCTGAGGCCTGAGCCCCAGGGGCAGCCTGAGGCCGGGCACCCAGCCCAGCCTTTCTTTAGCACCAGCGAGGAGCAGGAGCGTGGGCGGAAACCACAATCCCTGCTTCCGGGGAGGCCCGGGTGGGGCCAGGGCCTTGTGGTTAATGGTCCTGGGCCCTCTGCAGAGCCTGCAGCGCAGGCCACGCCCTGGTCCTTGCAGGGAGCGGCCTGATGAACCCCAGCTCTGATCCCCTGAAGGAACCTGTATCCCCTCGGCCATCTCTGGATACCCCCTGAGCTCGGCCTGCTGGCCCTAGGTCTCCTTCCCGCCAACTCTTGTGCCTAACTCATCCTCAAACTATTTTCCACTGGCTCCCCCCCACACACACACCCCAGGCCCTGCCACAGCACAATTCTTTTGGTGGGGGTGGGGAGGGATGAAGGGGAACGGGAGGCGGAGCCTGGGCCCGGGGGGAGGGGTTAAGGAAGAAGGGGGTTTGCCACTCTGATTGGTCACCTCTGCTCCAGAACGGCTTCAAAATTCCATGGACTCCGCCTCCAGTGGGCCCCCATCCCTGTCCTGGCTTACAACTGGCTGGGCTTCCAGGGGGGCGGGAGTCACCGGAGCCTGGTCCCATTAAAAGGGTGGGAGCGGCCCGGGGGCCCATCTCTCCCGTAGAGTCGTGAGACAGCTGGTGCGGCAGTTCCCGGGAACATCCTCCGGTCCTCAGTCATGGCTTGTGTGAGTGTGGGGACCCCGCCCCAAGGCCCAGGGATAGCGTGGGGGCAGACAGCCCGGGGAGAGTGGGGGCAGATGGGGAGCTGGGTTCTAGTCCCTGGGGTGTGGCTTCGAACAAGTTCCTTCTGTGCCTCAGTGGCCGCGTCTGTAAAATGGGGGTGGGCGCCATGGTCCCCAAAGGCCCTCTCTGGCTTAAGAATTATCTGAGTTCCTCCGGGGTCTGACAGCACAGTTATTTCCGCCAAGGTTTGACATTTTGCAGTTCTCGGATAACCGGGAGAGAGAAGGGTGTGGCAAACTGGTGGGGTAGGGAAGCACTTTGATGATACACAGGCCGCTGTCCCTTCCCCACTCCTCACCCCGGAGAGCCTCCTGTCCCTTCCCCCCCTGCAGCTGTCCCCAGTCACTGGGCCAGGGCAGAGTCATCCTCTGCTCTAGAGAGCTCTGAAAAGTAGCCAGGATTTGAGACAGGCTGCCCGGAGGGTGCCTGCATGGGTTAGTGGGTGGAGGGTGGTTCCGTCCAGGCCAGTCAGGTGGGGGCTGGGAAATTACCACCCCTATCCACACACACACATTCCCCATGCCGGGAGATTGGGTGCTACGGGGGAGAGAAGGAGGCAAGAATCTTCTGCAGGCCTCGAGGGAAAGGGTTCAAGTTTCTGGCAGAAGCAACCACTCACACCAGTTACGCTATGCGGTCAATCTCGCTATTGCTGAGCCGGCTAGGCTGCTGACTCTGGCCATTGGCCACTCACTCTTCCTTCTGCAGAGGGGCCTGGCTTTGCCCCTTAGGGGTCTCCTCTCCAACCCCTGCGCCTCTCTGTACCGAGGGGCTAGAAGGGGATGGTGGGGAATCTCCCAGCCCAGGGGTCGCCTCCTCTCCAGCAGAAGGGCAGACCCTCAATTTCTTCGCCATCAAGTCGCAGTGTCACTCACTCCGAGTCCGCTTCTCTCCATCTATTAAATGAAGGGTTGGAGCATAGCACCCCACCTCCCAAACCACTCTGAATCCAAAATCCCCACGCTGAATCGCAAAAACTTCTAGATTCTGCCTTCTACAACCTCGGTAGTGTTGACAGGAAATGAGCCCGGCTGAGAGCAGCGATTTGCCCGGGACCACACGGAGAACTTGGCCTCCTGGATTCCCCAGGCTTCCCGCGGGTGGGGTCAGAGGATCCTGGCTGGGAACCACCCCACCCCCTCCCCCGGGCACTGCGTCATCTAACCTCGCTGACTCTGGTCTCGTCGTCTTTGCAGGGTCTGATCGCCAGCAACCTGAATCTCAAACCTGGGGAGTGCCTCAGAGTGCAGGGCGAGGTGGCCCCCGAAGCCAAGAGGTGAGCGGGTGAAGGTGGGGGTGGCGGGCGGCAGGGGCCGGGGCACCGAGCCCGGGGGCGGGGGGGAGGGCGGGGAGGGGCGCGACGGGGCCGCTCCCCTCTGGTAGGGGCGTGGCCGGCCAGGCCCGCCCCTCCCTCCGGCGGCGAGAGGGTTAACGGCGGTGGCGTCTTCTGGGTGAGTCACTTCCACCTCGGGGTCTGGATGCCCCCCCTAGAGTCGCCCCCATCCCTCCCTGCCGGAGCCTCCTAAACCAAACCAGCTGCGGCCTCCGCCTCTACTTTGCCTGGCCCGGCCCCCACTGTGGGAGGGAGCCGCGGCCGCTCTGGGGCCCGGGAGAGGGAATGGGGGCGCCACCCGGCTGCTGGCCCTCGGGGTCCCTCGGTCCCGCGCTCTTCACTCACTCAAGCTTTCATTCCTTCGGTCCTCCTTCCTTCACTCATCATCCACTCAGCAGGCTGCCGAGTCTCTCAGCAGCCATGTGACCTTGGACCGGTCAACCAACCGCCCTGAGCTTCAGTCTGTTGTCGATTCCCGGGCGGGGGGGGGGGGGGGAGGAGGGGAGGTGGTTGTGAGGAGGAAGTGAGATGCTGGGTCTCTTCAGTGACCATGACGATGATCAGCTGACATTAGAAAGAACCATGGGCGCTATCCTTTTCATGCTTACCCAACTCTCCGAGGTAGGTACTTCTCTCCGCTCAGCAAATGCATTTTTAATGATGACGCGCTTATCAGCCCCACCGCTATTGAGCATTGCGTGTCGTCATGCTGGGCACCAGGAGTACAGAGATAACAAGGACACTTGCCCTCCCAGAGGTCACCATGTGGAGGCAGTCTCTCCGTCCTTGACCAAAGGGACACAAAGTAACGGCTAAGAGTCTTGGCTATCAGCACAGCCAGACCCTTAGAGATCGCTCTGGGGCAGCCCCCGTTGGGCAGATGAGGACACTGGGGCCCAGAGAAGGGCAGCGACTTGCTCAAGGTCACACAGCAAGGAAAGAGATCGCTCTGGGGCAGCCCCCGTTGGGCAGATGAGGACACTGGGGCCCAGAGAAGGGCAGCGACTTGCTCAAGGTCACACAGCAAGGAAGCGGCAGGGCCAGAACTAGAGCCTCCCCGCTCAGTGAGTCCCCCAGCTGGTGGCCCGGACTGGACGGTCTGAGGGGGCTGCAGCTGGCCGAGAAAGCCTCAGTGCCCCCTGCTCCCCGCAGCTTCTCGCTGAACCTGGGCAAAGACAGCGACAACCTGTGCCTGCACTTCAACCCTCGCTTCGAAGCGTTCGGGGACGTCAACACCATCGTGTGTAACAGCAGGAACGCCGGGGCCTGGGGCGTGGAGCATCGCGAGTCCACCTTCCCCTTCCTGCCTGGGAGTGTCATGGAGGTGGGCTGCGGCCTGGGGCCTGGGGCCTGGGGCGCGGGGCGGCGGGGGGCGGAGCTGGCTTTAGCGGCTAGAGACCTAGGGCCCGCCCTGCCCCCTCCCTCCCCTCCCCTGCTGTGTCCAAGCGCGGCGGGGGGCGGAGCTGGCTTTAGCCGCTAGAGACCTAGGGCCCGCCCTGCCCCCTCCCTCCCCTCCCCTGCTGTGTCCAAGCCAGTGCGCACCAGCCCGCACCAGCCCCCCTCCCAGCAGGCCCGGGCCGTGAAGCCGGCGGTGGTCAAGGCTGCGTGAGGAAAGCACTCTGGGGAAGTTTCGTGGCCTGCCGACCGGCTGTCACCACAAAACCCAAGCCCCTGCTTGAGGGTCCCCACCACTCACTGCCCTTCTCCACCCCCCAGGTGTGCATCTCCTTCGACGAGACCGAACTGACCATCAAGCTGCCAGATGGATACTTATTCAAGTTCCCCAACCGCCTCAACCTGGAGGCCATCAACTACCTGGCAGCCGATGGCGACATGAAGATCAAGTGTCTGGCCCTTGACTAAAGGCAGCCCCCTGGGCTGTGGCCCCTAATAAAGGCAGCTGCCTCTGCTCTCTCTGGACCTGCCTGTGTGTGTGTGTTTGGGGAAGGGGGGTGGAAGAGGAGGTTGCCACCAACTCCCCAGGCTCCCCCTTCCTTCACTTCCATGGCCTCAGTGCACACCGGTTAAGTGCCAGGGCCAAACAGGGAGCTCAGTACACAGGAGGGGGGCTGGTTGGTGACTGATAATCCCAGTCACAGCCCTCCCAACGGCTCCCAACCCAGTGAAACCCAGCACACACAGGTGCTCAAAAGATGAATCAATGAAACCAGGGTGAAAGAGGGAGGGACTGATGGATGCTATGGTATCCAGCAATACAGAGGGAGGTGGACAGAAGAATCTGGCTCCTCATTCTTTTGTGAGCTAGATCTGTTGCAGAGGGTGGGGCAACGAGCTGTGTGGCCTTGTGCATGTTAACTGACCTGAGACTTGGTTTCTATACCTCTACAAGGGGGGGGGGGGGGGGATGCGGGGATGAGAGCACGTAGCCTATCATGGTTGTGAAGATTACGTGAGATGCGTGAAGCAGAACAAGTTCAATGCCCGGTGCATGGCAAATGCCCGGTGGGCTTCCTATCCCTGATGCACTACCGCGTGAGAGGTTATCCCTGTGGTTTTGGAATATAGGTGAGGTTTGGTGGGGTGGGGTGCAGAGCCAGCGGTCAAGATTGAATTTGAGATGCCTTTGGTGCAAAAAGGTTTTTTGACAGCGAGAGAGGGGACACAAGCAGGGGGAGTGGGAGAGGGAGAAGCAGGCTTCCCACTGAGCAGGGAGCCCGATGCAGGGCTCCATCATGACCTGAGCCAAAGGCAGATGATTAACGACTGAAACACGGGACAGGACCCGTGGGCAGAAACTGCACTGGGGTCATGAGGAGTGGCCCATATAGACTTTCAAGTTGGGAGGGGGTTAGGGATAGTGTAAGTCTCTAAGGAATCCTGGAAGCAAGGTTTCTAGGACCTTGAGGGAGCTAGCTATTGTTAGGAAAAGGCCATTGATTTCCGTCTAATAAAACCTTAGTCATGAGACCCTTCAGATGTATATCGGTGGGCCATATGCTTGGGGGATGATGGCCAAAACATATCTTGGTGGGTTTAGAGATAAAGGAAGTTTACAAAGGAATTTTTATATGTTAAAGTATACTTAACAGGATCCTAGTAGTGGTGTTGGGGGGGGGGGGGCTCAGGCTAGGATTGCCTTTTGCCCTTAGCAAAGTATTAACATCGAAGCAATTGAGTCCCTAGAGGAATGTCACTCTGCCTGTTTCAAGGACTTGTCAATGGGCTGTAGGTAGTAAGGAAATTTAATAATTTTTCTTCTGCCTTTGTTTCCCACATCATTCCCCCCCTGAACAATTTTGATCCTTAAATCTTTAAGATTCTTGAGGGTGGAAGGTCTCATCTTCTGTAACTTCTTCCTGTTGAATAGGGGCATAGAGATGTCCCTACCTATGGGTCAACATTGGTCAGTTGGGGCTTAAATAGACAGAGGAGTTACAAACAGCAGAGGCAGCTGGATCCAAGGGAGACTGCATGTGTAGATCTTCCTAAGTGGGAAGATCATCTGTTGGCTTGAAGTTACGGCAGTGAGGAGTCTGGACACCAGGTGGAGAGACATGGGAGAAAACAGCAAAACATGATTAGTGTAACAAAAAAGAAGCTCAAATAAGAGTCCTGTGATAGTTGACAAAAAATCCTTTTCCAGTCCAGGAGTTTAATCCCTCATTAGAGGAAGAGAGGGATTGTTTAAAGTGCCAATTTGAGTATTTTTGTCAGAAACCCAGAAATATTTTGTGATCGTCTGGAACGTATACATAGCATTTCTTTTTTTTTTTTTTTTTTTAAGATTTTTTATTTATTTATTTGAGAGAGAATGAGAGAGAGAGCAGGAGAGGGAGGAGGGTCAGAGGCAGAAGCAGACTCCCCGCTGAGCAGGGAGCCCGATGTGGGACTCGATCCTGGGACTCCAGGATCATGACCTGAGCCGAAGGCAGTCGCTTAACCAACTGAGCCACCCAGGCGCCCCAGCATTTCGTTTTTATGCCAGCACACATTTCACCTCGTGTAGCAGCTAAAACATCTAATGTCATTCTATTTTGAAGAGTATCACTTAGGGCTCTGACCGTGTACTTATTAAGAGCTTCCATGTGCCAAACACCCTCCAGTCGCAAAGGGGAATAAAAATGGATGTTAGTTGGTCATACCAATGAGACACAGAATGTGCCCACCACTGTTTTAAATGTGGAAGATTGGCTGGGTTGGTAATGGTTTTATTTATTTTATTTTAAGATTTTATTTATTTGACAGCGAGAGCAGGAACTCAAGCAGGGGGAGAGGGAGAGGGAGAAGCAAGCTCCCCGGCTGAGCAGGGAGCCCGATGTGGGGCTCGATCCCAGGACCCTGGGATCATGATCTGAGCCAAAGGCAGACGCTTAACGACTGAGCCACCCAGGTGCCCAGTAAGGGTTTTAACAATGTGCCCGTGCATCCAGGCAAAACCCCAACAATGTGCCCGTGCATCCAGGCAAAAAATACAGCGGCCTTCCAGCCTGGTGGGGGGGCTATGGACACAAGTGAGAACCATTGGGTCCTGTTAGGAGACAGTCATCTAATTCTGGGCCCCTTTAACTGCAGTCAAAATATCAAGGGCTATTCAGCTTTGGAGGGCCGTCTTTTGAATTTGTGTAATAAAAGACAGTCTGTTGTCACTTTGTAGGGACCAAGGGAATCCAAATTTAGGGACAATTTTTCTTAGCAAAGCTTTTGTCACCTCCGTGGCCTTTTTTTTTTCTTTTTTTAAGATTTTATTTATTTATTTGACAGAGAGATAGAGAGCACAAGTAGACAGAGAGGCAGGCAGAGGAAAGGGAGAAGCAAGCTCCCTGGCTGAGCAGGGAGCCCGATGCGGGCCTCGATCCCAGAACCCCAGGATCACGACCCGAGCCGAAGGCAGCCACTTAACCGACTGAGCCACCTGGGTGCCCCACCTCCGTGGCATTTTTACCCAAATCATTAGCCTGGTGTAAGCACTGTATTACCTTCAATTGGTTATTTTTGGGTATAAAGATTTTTCCTTCATTATTAGCAAGGCAGTCCTGTGCATTTCTTGGTCTGAATAACCTGGACTTAAGGACTTTATTGGAGTTAAGACTGATAAAAGACTTAACATTTGTTTATTTTGTGCTGCACAGTCTGTTGAATTGTTTCCTCTAGATTCTAAGGTCATGTCCCTTGAAGTGAATCACCGCTACTTCCTTAGATAGGGGTACAGCCTTAAGAAGAGTAATAATTTCAGGCCCTGGGGAGTTATGGCTTGATAATAATCCCCTTTTCTTCCAAATTGCTCTGTGAGCATGTAGGACTAGGGAAGCATATTTGGAGTCAGTATAAATATTAGTTTTTAAGGCTTTGGCAATTGCAGGGGCGCCTGGGTGGCTCAGTCATTAAGCATCTGCCTTCGCCTCAGGTCATGATCCCAGGGTCCTGGGATTGAGTCCTGCATCGGGCTCCCTGCTCAGCAGGGAACCTGCTTCTCCCTCTTCCTCTGCCTGCCACTCTGCCTACTTGTGATCTCTCTCTCTGTCAAAAATAAAGAAAGAAAATATTAAAGATTTGGCAATTGCCAAGCACGAGTGAGCACTATAGCATACCCAGCTTTTCTTATTCCTTTTTCCATTAAACTATTGCCATCAGTAAACCAAGTGTCATCTTCATTTTCAACAGGGCATCTTTTAAATCTGGTTGACTAGAATAGATGAGATCAATAACCTCTGAACAGTTATGCTCTGTAGAAGTGCGATGGTCAGGTCCAGGCATAAGGGTAGCTGAGTTTAAAGTTTGACAGGTTTCAAGTATTACTTCAGGCATATCTATAAGTGTAGACTGGTATTTAATAAATCGGCCTCCATCATCCATTGGTGGCCTTTGGTTTCTAAGACACTCTGGACCTTACGTGAAGTCATTATAGTCAGGGACTGTCCCATGGTGAGCTTTGAGGGTCCCACCAGGAGGGCTGTTACATGCTTGGCGAAAGGCTTTGTTTGCAATAGTATCGCAACAGTGGTGGCTTCTAGGATAAATAGGACTATGAGGGATGAAACCATCAAGAGGACCTCTTTGTTTGAGGTCCAGCGTTAACAATACCCTAATTATAAGGAATCACTGGCAAGTGGGAGAAGACTTGTCAAGAGATAAAGGCATCCCCAAGTGCATCATCCAATCCAATCATAAAGAAAGCGGGGTCATCCATTATCTCCACAAGCCCATAGTTAACCCTACAGAGTGGGGTATGCTCTGGCTTTTGGGGAACGATTTCATCATCCTGGCCACAAAGAATTGGTCAAGGTGCTAGTTGAGTTATGCAATCATTGGGGAATCAATCCCATTTTCCAGCTGTTTAATCATGTGCCCATGGGGTCCTGTTATTATCCCCATTGAATAACAAGCAAGAAGATTGTCTATATGTGAGCTACTGTGGTAATTTCTCTGAAGTTTGCCTCAAGTTGTCTAGCTTAGGTAAGCAGCAAAGATTTAAAGACTATCAGATGTAGAATTTAACATCCATAAAGGTGTGTTACTGAAACATAATTTTTTTCTCTAAAATAACCTTCATTTTTAATCAGAGATAGCCAAATCAGGACTAATTTATTTGAAAAACAAACACAGTTTTAACAAACTTGGCCTAATTATTTACATAAGCTCAGCAAGAATAATGATTGATCATATAGATCTTTGAGAATCTGCTTTGCTGGAACTTTTTTTTTTTTTTTTAAAGATTTTATTTATTTTTTTGACAGAGAGAGACACAGTCAGAGAGGGAACACAAGCAGGGGGAGTGGGAGAGGGAGAAGCAGGCTTCCCACGGAGCAGGGAGCCCGATGTGGGGCTCAATCCCAGGACCCTGGGATCATGACCTGAGCCGAAGGCAGACGCTTAACGACTGAGCCACCCAGGCACCCCGAAAGCTTGTCTTTTTGAACAGAGAGAAAGCAGACTTTGAATCTCATACCAGTGTACTTT